ACCAGAGGAGGAGGAAGAAGCGAATGACGGGAGAGGCGGAACAACGTCTCCAGTAGCTGCGTCGTTGAGTATGGAAACGGTTGCTGCAGCAGCTGACGGTGAGCACCAAGTGCAACAAAGCATTGAGGCTTCCGCTGAAAACAACGGCGTACAGTCCACTGGAACCAGAACCACCGGCGCGGAGGAAAGCCTCATCCTCGAGGCAGGGGGCAGCGATTCCGAGAGAACAATGAGCTCAGACAGCAGCCTCACTCCTTCAAAGAGTGACGCCGAAACAACATCCGCGGAGGACACCGACGACATCTCTCGCATTGAAGGAGCCGAATTCTCTTTTGAGGACGGCAAGGAAGTTCCACGGACGGTTGAAACCGCACCGGAGAATACAAACACAACGCCTGGGGAGACCAAGATCCCATCGGAGTCTAACGCAACAACACTCTCGGGCCATGGCATTTTGCTTGAGCACGGGCATTACAGCGAATTGTCGGCCATGTATCTAATTGCTGAGAGCACCGTGCATGGGTGTGTGTCTCGGGTGTTGTTGCTGCTGCTTCTGGGGCTGTGGGGCACTGCAGCTCTCTGCTGAGGTGTGAGGGAGGAGTGGAATAGCGGCTTTTCGTGGAACAACAACTGTGCAGCTCCCAGCATCACTCACTCAACTTTGTCAAGCAGACTTTCTTTTTCTTCTTCTTCTTTTATGCCTGTTTTTTTCTGTTGTTTTTTTGCTTTTTTTCTTTTTTTTCCTGTTCTCCTTTCTCTTTTTTTTTTGTTGGTGTTCTGTTGAAATAATCAGCATTCCTATTTGTGTGTTTTCCCCCAAATGGTCGCTTTCTAAAAACCGTCACGAGTGACGTGCTTCCCCCTCTTTTGTTTGCTTTTTTTTGCCCACACGCGGTGCCGGCCTCGTTGCTGTGCGTCCCACGGACTGCACGAAAGGAGGAGTGGAGAAGCAGGCCGGATGCCGCATGAAATGTGAGGGATGTTGTGTGGGCTGGTGGGAGAGTACAATTCCTTTTTTATTTGTGTGTGTGCGGGCAGTATGTATAAACTCAAGAACACGGTTGTATTGTGCTGCGTGGCACATGAAATGACACATCTGCCGAATCAATTGTTTTTGTTTTTTGCTTCCTTTTTTGCTTTTTAAACTTCTTTTGTTTTCTTTTGTTTCGGTAAATCACTACAGTCTCTTTTCCGTCTCTGCCGTGCCCACTGTTACTGTGTGTCCCCGTGTCCCTTTTATAGTCCCTCTGCTGGCTGTGCTGCTGACACGCCCCCATTTCTTCTTCTTTTTCTTTTCTGCTAGAGGCACCGATGGTCCGCGACGACGATTGTTTTTGCACCCCCTCTGTGCGATGGCACGAGGGTGACTGGGCGCCGGCCTGCTGAGTGCACTCGGAGGGAGCGGATGTTGTGCGCCGTGCCTCAATTGTGAGTGTGGGACGCCACCCGCCACGACCCGCTGTGAGGCGCAGCGCTATTCCGTCTGGGCGGAGAGAAGTGAAGGACTGCGCCGTGGACTTGGATGCGCCCCGTCCCTCTCGTTGCGGCCGTGTGCGTGTGTCTGTGTGCTCTGGATGCCCAAACTCACTTGCCCCGCAAATGCGGCAACGGAAGGATGTGGTTGCGTGGAGGCGCCAATGCCACTTGAATCAAACCGTGCCTGTGGCACACACGCAAACAGGAGGAAGAAAGGAAGGAATTATTTGTCTGGGCTGCTGGCCGGATCCCCAAATTTCCGAAGGAAATAAAATACGACGGTAAGGGAGAATGAGTAAACGGAGAGGCAGTGGGTTCGCCAAACCTCGTTGCTTGCTCCGCATATATGTGTATATTTATATATTCTGGTGGTCCCTCTCTCGTGACATGTTGAACGTTCTATTCGGATATACCTATTTTTATAGCTTACGAAGTGGCAGACTTTGGGCCTCTCCAGCCACAAGACCCCGCCGCAGGGGTGGGAATCAAGAGAGGGGGCGGATGGTACGGCATAAATAAAAATATTCATCTTGACGCTATCGGTTCCTTTGGTAGCTTCCATCGCCGTCTTCTAAAGGAATTCATGCGATAGGAAGGAATAGTACAGAAATATGTCTTTGTCTCATTGGGAGCTTGTGAGGAGGATGCTCATGAGGTAGGCTGGCGTCCCTAATGTATATGTGTCCTGGTAAAACGGAGATATTTCTTCACGATCCTTTTCTATTTTGTGAATGTTTGGTTGACCGCGATTGAGGGAATCAGGGAACTGTTAGCGTCCAGACGATTTGCAATTATTTTGGTTTTCACAGCCACACGGGATCCGTGCAAGCTGATTGAAGGAAATGGCAGTGTTTTCTTTTACACGGCGACGGGGAGGAGCAACATTGTTGCCCGCATGTTGGACTTGGCAAGCCAGCATGGCGATGTACGGGTGCAGCTCGCCTTCGTTGATGAACACGGGCCGTTGGATGCGGTGGTAGCCGCCGCCGCAACAATGACAGGCTTACGCTTGGTTTCAGGAAACATCGCCATGCACTGGGAGGAGTCGACCGTTGCGGGGCACTTTTCGAATCACCGGGCGCCTCAAGTACCTAATCTCGAGGTTCGAGTGCTGCTGCCCATCGTGTGCGTGCGGCCCGGGAGTTGGGGGTCCAGCAGGGGCTGATCATTGCTGGAGGGCAGAGACTGAGCACCGACTACGCCAGCGCCGTCGCGGACGTTGCGGATCGGAGTGCTCAGCTTTACTCTCAGGTGGAAGAGGCGCATAATTACTTGTCGGCACGCGGATCTCACATTGCGGTGGCCGGCGGTTTTCTTGCGGGACGCGGAGACGCCGTGTCAACGCGAGGCGCCCACCTCTCGGAGAGGGCCACCAGATGGCGTAAACACACAGCCGCATCAACGGCATCGTTTGATGGCTGGGGGCGTGCCAGCATCCACGTTTCCCCAACGCAATCTCACGGGAGAGAGAGACGGCGGGTCAACACCCATACGTCTCAGGGCAATTTTGGGCGACCACATCTCCCTCACTCGATGCCTTTGCCCTCCCACACCTTCCCCTTCGAAGATGACTCCGGTGCAGAGGATCAGGTACTGCATTTCCCTGCATTGGGCGTTGACACTTGGACCCCGTGTGTATGGAATGACGTCGTCTCCGGAGTCCTCGTCGACCTCCGATGCGCATACGGTTATTGTTTGCGCTAAGTGGACTCTCAGGTTCAAATGGCCATCGACGGTTTGGTGTCGTGCAGACGCGCGCCGGAGATAGATCGGGAGCCCACCGATCAATTCATGGATTTTGGCAGGGCCCTACCGCAGACCTTCCGGATGCTGATCGCGATAACAACCGACCCCAGCATATCCCGCCCTCCACACTTCGTGCCCGCCTTCACATGGCCGTTCACGAGGCTGACGAACACGCGAGGGCGACCCAGCCTCTTGTGGAGCGGCGCGTAACCCAACAAAAACAACGATTGTCGCGATTTCAGTTGTGTCGTATTTATGGACACGATGCATCTACACGAAACGCGCGCAGCGCAGCCAGTAGGGATTACTCGCAGCGCAGTCGGCCATTAAAAAACGGCGAGGGGCTGCCGGCTGCTTACGTGGGCGGACGAAAACAGCCCCATCCATTCCACCACCTCCCGCCAATCCGCACACAAGACGTCGCACCGTGCCGCAGACACTTCATCCGATATTTTGAATCGCCCGAAACAATTGACGAGAAGGGCAATGGAGCTTATCCGCAAAGAAATTCAACCGTGGTACGACGAACCTCCGACATCCCCGCTTTGGGCCAGCTACATGAGGGGAGCGAAAGAGGCGGCTCGAGAGATGTGTGCGCCGTCAACGTGGCAGCAGAGAATGACTCTAGCGGGCAATTTACAGCCTTTTGCTGCACGCACGAACAGCCGATCAACGCGGAGAGCTGCGCAGCCTTTTTGGCGGTAATAGTCTGCGTGGCGCCATCGACCCGACGGCAGCACGCCAGGATGCCGCGGTCCATGTTGCAAATGGATTGAACCCCGCTGGGCATGGCGATTCTGGGGCTACAAAAATTGCGGCGCGATAAGAGGCGAAGCAGGCGCGCCACTTGATAGAGGAAGGGATGGATCAATATATCCGTAGCCGGACTGACTGGAAGCA